AGTTTAGGGATTTGGTGCTTAAAGAGGAAAATTATATGTGATTTATTCACACGCGGCGTCTTAACAAAATGGGTGTCCTCCCTGGGCAAAATCGACGCTCCGGACGTGCCGGTGTAGTCCGATTCGTCATCCGGGGTCGCTCGGACAACGTCGTTGACAATCAAGTCAAAACAACGCGTCAAAATTCAAATTCCACCAAATGCTTCAAAAGGTTAACTCGAGCATTCGACAAGTAACAGTGCAAACGAAGCGAATCGTGGCGATCGGACGTGTCAACTCTCCGTATTACAAAGTTTTGTGCGCGGGAGTGCGAACCGGGAGTACGAATTGTGCAAAAGGTCACCCTAAGGCTCAAAAGGTCCTATGGGAATCCCTTTTGGGTTTTCTCACGTTGGTTTCACCCTTCTAAGTGCTAGAAGTTGATACCACACACGCGAAACTCCAAAAGGATACAGAAATAAGTTCAATTTCTAGAACGAGGCGGGTTTCATTTCTAAGGTTCTAAGATAGTCGAAGGGAGATCCCTAAGGCTAGATCCTAAACCCTAAGAGGAAGACTAGACCTCACTAAAAATGAGGCCAATAGAAGTATTATACTAATATTCAACCCTTGCAATTCACTTAGCCAGTAGCTTTGGTGTATTAGATACAAAACAATGCAGATATATTTTCACACTCTTGTTGACTACCTCCATCTGCTCATCTGTATGAGGATGATATGTAATTCTTCTTTTAAGGACTGTCTCTTGCAACCTGAATAGCTCATTCCAAGTGGTTGAGGAAAACCTTTTCCTTATCCCCTATCCGATACTATCGATTCCGGCACCCTGTGCAAACAGGCCACTTCCTGGATAAACACCACCGCGACTGAAACTGCAGTGTAGGGATGTCTTAAGAGAATGAAATGTGCATACTTAGACGATCCACAACCACCAGGATTACCGTGAGCCCTTCTGACCTTGGCAAACCCTCGATAAAATCCATCGTCATTTCTTCTCAAATCTTCCCAGGTAATGTAATGGTTGTTGTAACCCTCCCGATGCCATGATCAATTACTTGTGCCTTTGGCTCACATCACATTTTGCCACCATGTTCTCTACTTATCTGTGTATCCCTACCCAATAAAGCTCTGTCGCCGTATGACTGTAGACCTTCTGCACTTCTGAGTGTCACCCAATCGCACTGCCATGAAATTCTTGTAATAATCTGAGGATATACTCCAACATCTAAATATTGAAGTAGGCAATCAAACATTGATCTTGCATGAGCGACGCTCCTAATCTATACCCCTATGTATTCGTCTCCACCATGAATGGTTTCTTGAAATCTAAAAGTGCTAATACTGGTATGTCAGTTATGACCTTATTTAGATGTCCAAACATCTGTGTTGTTGTTTTCCCCCATTTGAAATTGACTTTTTTTAATTTACTCCATCAGTATTCATGCTGTTGTGCTATATCCTCTTACTAACTTTTGATATTAGCTGGTTAGTCGCAGGAATCCTCTCAACTTCTTCAAATTCTTTGGTAAGGGTCAATCAACCATAGCCTCGATTATAGACCAGTTCACTTCTACTGTAGGTGCACCTGAAATTGTGTAAAAGAACATTACTTCAAATTGACATACAATTGGTGCTTCCTTAATGTTGCCATATCTGTCCTTAGGGGCCCCAAATGCTCTGTCTCTGTACGACTGTAGATCAAAATGTCATCAAAGAAGATCATGACAAATTTTCATAAGTAAGGTTGAAAAAAATCTATTCATGAGGGATTGAAATGTCGACGGGGCGTTGATGAAGCCAAATGACATCACTAAGAACTCATAATCACATTCATTTGTCCTGAATGCTGTCTTGCGAACATTCGTTGGATTTATCATGATATGATGGTATCCCGACTTAAGATTATTTTTTGAGAAAATGACTGTCTCATAAAGCTCATCCAGTAACTTATCTGTCATGGGAATAGAAAACTTGTTCAAAACCGTCTCCTTATTCAAAGTCCAATATTCCACACAGAATCTCGAACTACCATATTTTTTCTTCATCAACAGGAAGAAAATGAAAAAAAATGACATACATTAGGTCTGATAATCTTGATTTCAAGCATCTCTCGGAGTAGCTTCTTAATCTCATCCTTCTGAATCTGGATGTACCTGTGTGGTTTGACATTGATGGGGGAAACACTCTCCTTCAAGGTAACAACATGCACGTGCTCCCTCGGGGGAGGTAACCTGCTTGGCTATTAGAAGATATCCCTAAACTGTTGTAGGAGCTGCTTGAAACCTTCAAGAAACTCTGCCAACCCTGAATCACAATTCTCCTCAATTCTTTGCAACTCCACCAAGTTGCCCACCCCTTTTCGACTTGGCCATTATTTTGAGTTACACCATAGGTTTGCATAAACTAGCATCTCTTCTCAGCATCTCCTTCCTACCATCCACTTGGAACTCCATCGTCAGAGACTTCCAATCCACCATCATCTCCCCTAGCATTTGCACCCAGTTCATTCCTAAAATCATATCTTTGTTGCCCAAATATGAGGGAAGGAAATCCTCCACCACTTGTAAGTCATGTAGTGTCATAACTAACCCCTTATAAATTTTTCGATTTTTCTTCACTTTCTCTGTCCCCATTATGACGCTGAAGCTTCCTGTAGTCACCAGCTGCATCCCTAGCTTCTCCCTAACCTAATTTGAGATAAAGTTATGCGTGGCCCCGCTATCCAATAACGCTACAATCGGTTATACCCGACCCACCCCATCCCCTCACCTTCATGGTGTGATCTGGAGTAAATCTCACCACCGAATTGGGGGACAACTTCGTCACATCCAAATGCAGATGCTCCTCCTCCACCACATCCTCCTCTGATTCATCACTCTCTGTATCCTCCTCATGGACTAAAAGAATCTGAAGGATGAACTCCTTACAGCGGTTCCCTAGGCATATTTTTCGTCTCAACGTTAACACAATCATTTTGCTCTTTTATCTTGCACTTCTTATCCACGAGATGCTTGAAATTACTCCTAGGGCGAGTTCCTGTATTTTTCCCCTTTGACTTATCATTCTAAAATGACACCATATGTGTCCTCTGTGTCTTGGCCGTTAAGGTGCTCTTGTAGATATCTTCGGTGCGCCACCTTTGCTAGTCTTCTTCACTTGTTTCTTATCCTACATTATCTGTGTGAGTTCCATCATTTCCCTCAATCTACATGGCCTCAAGGGTCAGATGGCTGCTTGGAGAAATCCCCCTAAACCTCTCTAACAAGAGCTCGAACTTCTCCTGATATTACGTAGCTGTCCCCTTCTGAATCAGAGCATATAATTGCTCATGTAGGTCTCCTTCCCGAATGACTCGAAAACGTTCTAACAAGCGACCTTTGAACTCCTCTCCTGAGTGCATCATATGTCTTGCCTCCATCCACTGAAACCACATTAAAGCCTTCTCCTGCAAACATAATCTCGCTGCCTTGAGTTTCTCTTCCTCAAAGAACTCATTGATTGCAAAGAACCGTTCCACCAAATAAACCCACTCATGTGCATCCTCCCTTTTCAAAGATCAACATCTTCAGTTTTTTGACCCTTACATCTCCACCCCAACTTCCTCTTCCTTCGACATTTCCCCTCATGTATCTAGGGTGAAACTCCCTCCTCCAGTCATAAGCATACCCTACTCCCGATTTCCTCCTTCTTCCATCATGCTCTTCCGTGCCCCTTACACCTTTCCTCCAATTTTCGGCCTATCCGCCTCCAACAGAAGTCTCCACTCACCCTCCTCTCGGAGTCCTAGGGGGACACACTTGTTGGTAAGATGATGTCTTCCTCACTGTCTTGTCGCTTGATCTCCTTCCCTTTTGACCTGGTTAATGATTCTCTGATCAGCCCTTGGTTAGGGTTTGCAATTGGAGCGATCGACACAACCTTGGATTGCATCTCCATGAACTTTTTCATAATCTTCCGCATTTCTCCTATGCTTTCAAATTCATCCTCTATTTGACTTTCTATGGAAGAAAACCTGTCCTCCATGGTGGCGAACCTCTCTTCCATTTTTTATTTGATTTGCCATACCTCTCATTTGAGCACATCCACTTTTTTTGCTGCCATCCCACCAAGGTCTATGCTTTGATACAAATTTGATAACTCCAGAGCCAAAATCAGCGAGCAAACAACCACAAAATGACAAGAGGTAAAAGGCAAACTAACTTAACAAACAAACAAAGGCTAAAAGCAAGATACAATGGTGATATATTTTTTGAGAGGCATATCGGCTCTTCCACAACCCTAGACGTTGTTAGGAATACCACAAGATGAAAAGAAAACAACAGCCAAAAAAATATGTATCCAGAAAACAAATTCTAGGTTCCTCCCCTCAATATAATCCTCCAACAGCATTTGAAAATTTCCTTTGCCAGTTTCCCTCCAAATTTTCTTAATCTGTTCTTCTTGAGTATGTAATTAAGCCTATTGTGAACTCCACCTGCTCCCTGCCCTTTTCTGTGGCAGCAAAGTGCCGCCCCGCTTCTTCTCATGAGCAGGATCGGCCCGCATACCGTTGTGGCCCACCAATGCTTTGGCTTTCGACCGGTCTAGGAGAGACCGTTTAAGTACGAGGATAGTAATATGTAAATGTGTAGGAATGGGGTGGTATGTATGTAAATACCCAAAAAAAAAAAAAAAAAACGTTCAGCAATTGTTCTCCCTTGATGGTCTATACTCCAAGCCGCCGTTACTTGTTCATATCAAACTGGAGTTTATAAATATTAATGTTTATGTAATTATGCCATCTTTTTATATTGAAGGATTCATAGTGACAGATCCATTTGGTTGGTTTCTTATCTACAATTTGTAATTTGTTGAATTTCCTCTCTTCCATGGAGTTCTTGCTTTTGATTTATTACTGTAGCAGAAGAATGAATTGGTTAAATATTGAAAATAACAATGCTCTCAATACAGCTTAAGGGCCTAAGGATCTGTTGAAATTTTAATTAATGCTTTGTTTGTAGGAGCTGAAGGATGTGCTTACTCATGTGCCTGAGATTTTGGAGCTGGTTGGTGAGGAGAGTGCTATAAAGTTTATGAAAATACAAGTTGTAGATGGAAACGAGGTAGTTAAAGCTCTCTTGCAATCTATGTTTACTACACTTATGACAGCAAGCAAAGAAGCTATTTCTGAAGCATTAAAGAAACTCTTGAGTCGTTTAGGCGAAGAGCAAAAGGTATTTAAAAATTGATTATGGTATGGAATGCTTTAATTAATGTTCATATTTCTGTTCTTGGGTAGGTATGAACATGAATTCTATGACTCCATTTTGGGATTTGCTGCATTTAACTGCTGGATTAGTACTTTTTGTTACATTTGCTGCTCCTAAATGACTTTCAGCATTTATTAGACCCATTTCATTTGGATTGTTGTTGTTTTTATCTTTCTTTGATGCTTCTTGGTGTTCCTGGAGTGATTGGATTTTAAAATCTTTTCCTAAACAGACAAATTTGTTGCAACTGAATGGTGTAGTTTGTTTTAAATTTTATAGAGATAAATGTATTGATTTTTAGTTAGCGGAATTACTAACTGATAACTGATTCAGGAAATCTTAGGATTATGATTTTCTAATGTAACTAATATGATGCGCAGTATTTTTCCATTCAAAGGAAAATTGAGGATTCATATATTACACGTTAATAATTTATCCGATTACTCCTATTTTTAAATGAAAACATACAAGGCTAGATTTTAATACTAATTGATAATGAAATGTTCAAGAATTTCAGCAAGAAATTAGAAAAATATAAAATCACTGAGCAAAGTGGATTTAATTTCACAAATTAGATTTTCTGATCTGTCAGCTTTTGAACAAAATCGATAAACTCCAAACAAGATAATAATAAATTGTGTAGATGAAATAGAACAAGGAATGAATTTAATATAATAATAAAAAATCAAGCTTCACACCAGTACAAAGCGATGACTCTTTCTAAATTAGATAGTCACTCATATACTACACTCGGTGGAATCACATTTCAAACTTGTAAGATTGTTATTAGAAACAGAATTTTTTTTTCATCCGAAGGTTCTTTATTACATGCCTCATATCATCTATAGATTTCTCATATCTTGATTAGTAGATATGATTGGCATGAGAATCATACCAGTTTAATAATAGCGTCCCAAAATTCAAAATTATTTTATCCAAAACTCTCAATAAATACAGATTTGAGGCATATATTATTTAATAAAATAAAAGTATAGTTTTTGTGTTATAAACACATAAGAACTGAAAATGAACTACTTTTCTATTTCAGTACAAAGCATCTAACTTCTAAAATACCCAAAACATAAAGAACTAGGCTTTCTGCTTTTTTATTGAAGTTTCACAAAAAAATTTTTACCGTCAGAGATTCATTTAAATCCCTTAGACAACACTTTAATCCCTCCAAAAAAAAAAAAGAAAAATGAAACTTATGATTTGTTTATGTTATTATGTTCTAATCTGTTAATATGACTAGTATGCTTAACATATTGCATTATGCCAGAATATTACCATTATCATGCATTGTTGTTGGAAAAGAAGAAGAATTGATAACCATTTATTTTGTTTGAGTTTCTTGTGGCTTCTTTTCTCTTCATTGAATGGTGCGTTATGTTTATTAAATAAGATATATATATATAAAGTATTCTACTACATATCTTTTCCTATTTCTTTTCTACAGCTTAAATTATGGATGCTAAGTTGCTAACAAAATCTTAGTTTAAATCAGGTTCGGGTACTTACAGTAAAAGAAGAATTAGTGTTACTTTTAGAGAAGCAATACCCTGCTGATGTCGGTGTTATAGCAGCCTTTTTCTTTAATTATGTGAAGCTCAGCCCCGGGGAAGCATTATGTATTAATGCAAATGAGCCACATGCTTACGTTTCTGGTGAGTGTATTGAGTGCATGGCGACGTCAGATAATGTCGTTAGAGCTGGATTGACTGCTAAGTACAGAGATGTTCAAACCCTTTGTTCTATGTTAACTTACAAACAGGTCAGCGTTTATGATCATTTTCAATTTATTATTTTGATATTGGTGTGACGGGCATATTTAAAAATTTAACTGATACGTGCAATTTTTTGCTTTCTCAAAATTTAACATTTGCTTAGAGCTTCTTTGGCATAAATTTTATCATACGTTTTTGTTTTATTTTTTCTTTTATTTTAAAGAAGGTGTTTGTTTATTGTATTTTTTGCATGTTCTTATTTTCTGTTTTTAAAAATAAATCAATTTGTTTTAAAAACACTCAAAATAACTTTTGTGCCTTTTGAGTGTTTTTAAAAATAATTATTGTAACTAAACATGTTTTATTTCAAATCAAAACATAGAAAAATAAATAAGAATGAGAGATAAAAAAAAACAAAAAATAAAAATGATCTCAAACGGACCCTTGCTATGAAAATAGAATCATGTGTCATGAGTACTGTAATGTGTTTCAGACATGTCACTGATGTTTTGGCCATTAGTGAAACATTTTGTTATGTGCTATTTTTTCGCGGAAATAATGATATTTTGGGGCGGAAGGCTTTTTTTGTCCATTGCTAAAGTAGGATGGATGATTTTTTTCAAAGAGAAAATTATTGTCAAACTTGTTGAGCGTTTTACCTGCAAATCTGTAAATGCAAGGAAGAAATTTAGATTTTGTATTTTAAAAAAGTCAATATTAAATGGACTAAAAATATAAAAATAAGCCATTAATATATATATATAGATATATAATAATAATACTAATAATAAAGTAAAATAACTCAATCCTTATAACCAAGCTGATTTAATATTTGGTGCCAATTAGTTTAACAATTATAAAGTTTCACTTTTTATTTTTAATGTTTAAAAGTTTTTGAATTCACCTCTCTCTCTCCATTATGAGTTTACATAAAAAGAGGTACCAGTTCTTCAATCTACTTGCCCGATTAATCAATTCAATCTTTATCGTTGAACCTATTAATGAAAAGCAAAGCGACCTTAGTATTGCCATTAAAATATATATAAGAACTTGCATTGAATTTGCTTGTTAGGTGGTAGAAAAGTTTTTTCTTATAATTTTCTAGCTTCTCTCTTAGTAATCCGCATATTATTTCCACCCCCAACAATATCTTTGGGATTTTAAGTAATGAGAATTAGAAGAATGTTATCGAGGTGGAAATAAAAGCCTTAGAACAATAGAATACTGTGTAAAGGAAAGATACTAGGAAGATACAAATAGAACTTTACTGTAAAATACAAAACGGATGATTCATTAGAGAGGCATAAAACCAGATTGGTAGTTAAAAGCTGTACATAAACATTTGAGATTGATTAACCTGAGACTGTTATTGCTCTGGTTGCTAAATTGAATATTGTTCAAGATTTCTTTTGTTAGCAACTAGCATGGCCTTAAAAATACAACAATTTGATATTAAGAATGCCTTTTTTACTCAAGCGAGCTAGCGGACAAAGGATAGATGTCCCACACATGTTTTGGGCCAAATTCAAAATAAATTATATGTATGTTATAGAAGGCATTGTGTGGACTGAAGGAGTTAATGCTCAAAATGGGATACAAATGGAGTCAATAAGATCATATATTACTTGTAAAACACGACTTTATGGGGAGTCTCATCACTATTAGTATATGTGAATATTTTATTGATGGTTAGTAATTTGGAAGGAATGATGAACTGAAAGAAAAGATTGTTCAAAGAATTTGAAGTAAAAGATTTAGGCAAGCTAAAGTACTTGGTATTGAGGTTTTATATTCTCGGCATGGAATTCTCACAATTAATACATTAGAGATTTGTTAAAATATTTAGCTAAGTTGGGATGGAATCTTCATATCTTATTCACCAAATTAGGCCAAAATTTAAAAAAGAAAATCTATCATCATTTTTCTGAAGGCAGCCCACTTGAGTGTTTTTTAATTTCGAAGGGAGGCTTGTGCTCCAAGTTATTTTTATTTTTTCTTGTGCAATTTTTTCTCTAGCAATTTCTATTAATTGCTTATGCTGTACTGCTTTTATTTTCTAATTTAAAATTTTCATTATTAAAAAATACAATTAAGTTTGGATACAAATGTATTGCGAACATAGAGAATTCAATTATAGATTTGAGATGCGTAAGATGACAAATTAGATGAAAAAGCCTCTCTTCTGAGCTTGGTGGAAATACTTCAAATTTTCAGATACTATAATTAACATTGCCTACGTTGTTAGTTTTGTAAGACAATTAATGGATGGCCTAAAAGAATTATACATCTGGTTGTCCTGTAGAATTTTATAATATTTGAAGAGAAAACGGAACAATTGAATTTATTTCAAGAAAATGGGATGACCTGACTCTTAAATATGTAAATGCAAATTAAATGGATTTTTTTTGGATAGGAGATCGATCTTAGGATATTGCATATTCTTAGAGGGTTGTCTTATGACTTAGAGAAACAAAAATTAAGTGTGGTGGCAAATTTAACACAAAATCTAAATTTAGATCTATGACATTAAGGATCTGCAGATTACTGTGACTAAAAATTATTCTCAAAGGCTTTATAATTTAAGTATGAAAATGTTCTATGTAAAGTTTTGAAAATCATTTCAGATATTAAATTGGAAAATAGTAGATGTTAAATGTTCAACAGTTTAGTTGGGAACCAGATACTTAATAAATATTAAATTTATTTTAATATAATTTAAATGATGTACTTATGTTGTAATACTTATATTCTCACCAATTTAATATTCAATATTCTAATTCATGACAATTTACTTTGGAATACTTTGAATTTAATTTCAAATTAAAATTTTGGGATATTATATTTTTATTATTTTCTTTATTTTGATCTAAATCATTTATCTCTTTCCATCATATCAAAATAAAATAAAATAAAATAAAATTGATTAATATTAGCACTAGATGGTAATTTACGAACAGGATATGTTTACCATTTCACTGGTTCAACTGTCGAATCTAATTGATTCTGTGCAGAACTAGTTTTGCATTTGGGCAAAACTAGCTGGAGAACCGACTGGTCTAATCAAATTTCTAAAACCATGATTTTATGAAGCTCTATTATAAAACAAGCCAATCATTAATGTTCCACAATATCCCATGTAACATAATCGTAAAAAGCATATTGAAATTGATGTTTCTTTTATAAAGGAGAATATTGAATGTGGTCTAATTTGTACCCCATCCATCACAACATATGATCAACTTTCCAACATAATAGAAGGATTATCAAGAATGTTCTTTCAAAAACTATTAGGTAAGTTTGGAATGTATGATATAAGTTCAGCTTGTTGACATACTCACCAAAGGATTATCAAGAATGGTCTTTCAATAATTGTCATGTAAGCTTCGAATGGATATTGTCAACCACTCAATTCATATCAACACCTAAATATTAAATTTTACATTTAAACCACCGAAAAATTTCACATCATGAAAAATACCACTATTTTAACTTTTAAAAAGTGTGATGTACAATTTCAAGCATAGATAAGGTGGCATAAATGTAAATGATACCAGAGTTAACCAAATCGCAACAGGAAATACAACTTTTTATTACTGAAAGTAAATAGGGGTGTGGATGAGATTGTGGATGCTCGGGACCTCTTCCCTCCTCACACCTCACTGCCACTGCACACATGTCCAATGCCCTCTTTGTGCCCCTTTGCTATTGCCATTTGATAGATCTAGATTATTGCCTCCTCACACATTTAATACATGCCACTTGTTGAGAAAAATAGGGCGAAGAAAAACAAGAGCGACACAAATCCAGAAGAGCACAGAGATTTAACGAGACTCGGCAAAGATGTCTACGTCCTCGGGAGCAGAGCGGCGAGTTCCTTTCAATATTCAGAAAAGACGTTACAGAATAGAGGGATACCTCATGGGGTTACTAACATGCCTATTTATAACCCCAGGAGTAAACCTAGGCACAACATGTAATTATTCCCCCTGTCCCATACCGCGGGGCTTTGCCCCCGCACCCCAACCCACGTAACTTCCCAATTTGAACAGATTTTTCCGCTCCGCTCCCTTCGATCCAGCATCTGTCCCGATATGGTATATGAGCCATATCATAACAAATCTCCACCTTGGCAAATATCCAGCCCCTTAAGAGAAAAAATACCTGGGAGTTACATCTGCACTACTGTGGGTTGGGTCACCATGCTTCTCTAGCAACTGCAAACATTCAACAAGTTCAAGCAATGCAAGAACTTGTTGATAGTAACTGACTTGGTCAACATATCAGCTGCATTCTCATCAGTATGAACCTTCTGCAATAATATCTCCCCAGAAGCAATCAACTCTCTGATCTTGTGATATCTGACATCAATGTGCTTGGTTCTCGCATGGTACACCTGGTTCTTAGCCAGATAAATAGCTCTCTGACTATCACAATGCAACTGAACTCCACCTTGCTCAACGCCCAGTTCCTTTACTAGCCCAACAAGCCATAAGGCTTCTTTAGCAGCTTCAGCTACTGCCATATACTCTGCTTCAGTTGTAGATAATGCCACAATAGACTGAATTGTTGATTTCCAACATATAGGCCCTCCACCAAGAGTAAACACATACCCAGTTGTAGACCTTCTGCCATCCAAATCACCTGCATAGTCTGAATCAACATACCCCACAACTGAAGGATCATTCTTCTGACTGCCAAAAATAATTCCATGTCCTACAGT